AGCACGTCACTTCCTTTTAGGGCTGTGCCCTGTTGACGTAATCAGCACGTGGGCTTGTTTACTTTGATGACGTCACTGATCAAAAGTGCTGATAATTTTCATTAAAAAAAGGTATACACTACTTCTACTGAGGGAGTCAAGCTATTCTCCAAGGCGCCTGAAGGCAGGACGAGAAGCAACGGATGGAAACTGATCAAGGAAAGAAGCAACTTAGAACTAAGGAGAAACTTCCTGACAGTTAGAACAATTAACCAATGGAACAACCTGCCTCCAGATGTTGTGGGTGCTTCATCATTGGAGGTTTTTAAGAAGAGACTGGACAGCCATTTGTCTGAAATGGTGTAGGGTTCCTGCCTGAGCAGGGGGTTGGACTCGATGACCTCCAAGGTCCCTTCCAACTTTATTATTATTATTATTATTATTATTATTATTATTATTATTATTATTATTGATCATCGCACAGTCAGCCAGATGTTCAGACTGGATTTGGCATTTTGTCTACCTATCAAGTCCTTACCCAGGACCTGGGATAGGCAGATATGGATGTTTGATGGTATTACAGATATTGTCGCAGGATGGAAGAAGTTCCTAATAAGGCCGCCTTTTGCAACTGACTAATAGCGAATTTGTCTATTATTATTATTATTATTATTATTATTATTATTATTATTATTATTATTATTATTATTATTATTAACTTATCCAAATTTCAGTCACAGATCCCCACAACAGTTTCTGCCTCCTGACTTTATTTGCCATCTCAACACCATGCTGTTTCAGGCAGTGGGGAAATGATAGGGTGGTCCTAAATATAAGTCAACAAGGATGTTTGAATAAAAAAAATGGAAAGCCAGACCTGATGTCTGGTGTGATTTTGAAATATGGCAAACCTTTTTTATCCCATATGAAAGAAGTAGTAGGTAATAATTGGAAGAAACTTTGAAGATGAAGTTTCCCATTTAAGCAGGGTTTTTAGCATCACCTGGTAGGTGCTAAAAATGACTGGTTTTTATGTTGATAGAATCTTGATACTGTTCAACTATTCAATCTCTGCACATCTTTAAAAAGTACAGTAGCAGTTCCTAGTAACAACACAGAAAGAGACCATGGTGGACTACGATGTGGTTTTCATTTAAAAACCTCAGACTATGTATTGTATATTAAGATGTTATGGCCTACCTAGTCCTACTTGGTTTCCAGGGCCAGTATTGGCAGAACAGTAAAGGATGTGGCCTTTGGCAGAAAGATTAGAAACTAGTGACTCTCTGAAAAAAAAAAGAATGAAAGAAGTTACTGTTTGAGGTGTGGAAACCAAAATAGTTTAAAGGAAATTGCAGTTTAACAAACCAACCAATCAGCCTTAAAAGGGTAATAATTGCTCTACAGTATCCAGTAGATAAAATCAATTGCTTTATTCACTTTTAATTCTAAACCCAATCACTTTTAAGCAAATGGATTTTTTTTCTTTTGATTGTTGTTCTGTTCCTGTTTCTGCCTTGTTTTTAATGCCATTTTGACAATTAACTGAGCTGCTTTCAAACATTATCTAGCATCTTCAAACTTCTCTGCTTAAGTAACAGTTCTTGCACTTCTGTCAAAGTCATCTTCTTTACTCTCTACACCTACCTCCTAATTACCAAGACCATCTTCCATGTAAAGAGAATCTCTGCTGGAATAAAGATGCTGTGTTGATGTGATGTGGTATCTGTGGGACCACAGAGAATGAATCTGTAAAACTGTACCATTGTGTACTGCTTCCACTGTTACACCCAGGGGCCAGTCTGCTGGGTTATTCTTTGACAACAAGCAACAGGGAAAATCTGAGTTGCATCAAAGATGTTCTTGTATTATTCCTCACCCCACCACAGTTTTACTCCCCTTATTTTCTTGCTCATTATTTTTCTTTCATCTCCTGGACAAAGTAGCTATAGGATTTGAATGAGTATTCTTCCAGCCTTGAAAGTGGATTACTGGAATAAATCTATGATCGTTTGCTTAATGCCACTAAATCACCATAAGCTCTATTTTCAGATGACTATGGAAAATCCATGCCCTGAAACAATATCATTAGTGAAAAAATAATTGAAAGGAGGACAAAGAAAGAGAGAGAGAGCAAGAGAGAGCAAACAAGATTTCCTACTATTTAGTTCAGCAATTAGTTTCTTATATGCTGCTGCAACACTACAAAATATAACATGTCATCTGTGCTAGCTTGGTGCAGTTATTTGTATTTCCAAGAATGGTATGGATGCAGCCCCTCTGAATGTTGTCCAGTTTCTCTTTGCCCCTTAGTTTGAGCAACAACATCTGGCCAAGATATTCTAAGTTTAAAAAGCTAAAGCACTTGGATTTTTCTTTCCAATCATTCATCTGCATTGTTGTTCTTGGAAGTGAGATTTTTCAAAATTATTCTGGTGAAGTTTTTTTTTTTAAAGCGTGTTTAGTCCTGACTGCCTCAAAGTTGACTCAGCCTTCCATCCTTCCGAGGTCAGTAAAATGAGGACCCACATTGTTGGGGGCAATATGCTGACTCTGTAAACCGCTTAGAGAGGACTATAAAGCACTATGAAGCGGCAGTGCTTTTTTAGTACAAAGAAAAGGTGCCGGAACTCACACACATCATACAACCCGCCTTGCCTATCCTACAAGGTTTCATCCAAAAAAGGTGCCGGAACTCCATGCTGGGCGTTCTATGACAAAAAAAGCCCTGTGAAGCGGTATATAAGTCTAAGTCAGTGGTTCTCAACCTGTGGGTCGGGACCCCATTTGGGGTCGAATGACCATTTCACGGGGGTCGCCAAACAACGGAGTCCGCCATTTTTTCCCCCTTTTCCTTAGCTGTGCTACTCCCTTTTATTCTATTGGCTTTTGAAAGCCAATAGAATAGACTCTCTTGAATAGAGTCTAATTCTATTGGCTTTCAAAAGCCAATAGGAATTGTCCAGGCTGTCTCGGCCCTGCTGAGCCCATCAAAAATCCCATTCTGCAAACGGGGCTGCACCAGTTGAGTAGTCCTCGACTTACGACCGGTTGAGTAGTCTTCAACTTACGACCGGTTGGGGGTCGCAGCATTAAAAAGGTTGAGAACCACTGGTCTGAGTGCTACGGTATTGCTATGTCAATAATAACTCTCCTTCTTGCCTTGGAGATCAAAGAGGTTTTTTTTTTTTTTTTTACTTTTACTTTCACAGGCACACATGCATAGGGGAGGAAAAAGGAAGGGAAGTCTTTTTTTCTGAGTTTCACATCTTCCTGAATAGGATTTTTTTTTTCAAATAAAACTATAGATTATATGCACTTACAAGGTATAGGACATTTATATAATCTGCTTGTGTACAGTTGGGATGGGATGTTTATGGCTCTCATCTGGTTTTAAGATTTGGCACAATTATTTCAAAAGGAAGCACAGCAGACATTTGAATAGAAACTTAGTCAACTATTATATGAAATAAGCTTTAGTGATAAATAAACGTTTCCTTCCATATATCTGAGTCCACAATTTCCTGAATTTCCCCATGGGATTCAGGTGTATTCACTGGAATTACCAATGTAACTTTTGATCTTGGAGTTTTTCATGCAGTGAAAATTCTCCTATTAAATACCTTTTAAAATTGCTGTATAATTCATACACTAGTCAGCTGGAAAAAAAAAAGAATTGGCACCCTGCATAATTCACATGATACTAAATCCATCAGGAAATTATCTTGCACAGCCCTCATTCAGATTACAGAACAGTTATACCCAAATGAATGATTACGTATTTTTCATACAGAAGATTCCAAGTTTAAGGCTACCATATCCGAGCTTCCAAAATCCTGACAATCATAAGATGAAAGAAATAGTGATAGGCAGCTTTGACTCCTCAGATTTTTTGCAGCCTAACTATCCATCATCTTTCTGATGTAGAGAAGACAAAATCATTCATCTCTTGCTATGGATATACTAATTTATTTACTTGAGCTTTGCTCCTGGATCCTATTATGAAATTTTCATTGCAGACGACAGCTTCTACAATTGTCAGAAAACACATGAATATGTAGTAGGAGGATTCAGCAAGAGATCTGGTATTCCAGAATTTTGATTTATTTTATTTCTTAAGCATTCATGTGTGCAAAACAACCAGCAGGAGTACAAACAGGGAAGGATTACTTTTTTTTGTGGGGGGGAGCTTTGACGTGGCCAAGACTGAAATACATAATGAACTTTCCACTGGTATGAAAATATTTATTGCAAAAATTCCCTTTCAATAAACGCACAATTGAGAGAGCTTTTATAACTTGCAGTTTGTGGGGAAGAGCAAAACTAAAAGAGGACAATACCAAAGAAGGCTTCCTTGTAGAACAGTTAAGATGCTGAAGATCAATGATACGGGAAAACTTTTTTCCAAGGTAGCAAACCTGCTCAAAGAGAATTGAACAAAAAATGCTGCAAACATGTTTACAAGTTGGTTAGAAAATGGAGGTAAGAGGATGTGTCTCGACTGGAACCATTTCTATACCAGCTTACATGACGAGATGAACTGACTGAGCACTATCAAATATGCAGGTGGGTCTACAGAGTAGAGTTAGGTTGCTATTAGGTCTTTTGAAAAGGTCCTGGGAAGAAATGTCACACAAACATTTGAAAGTCTCCTTTTTAGGAAAGATAAATCTGCCTGATCTTAGATTCAAAAGTGTCTATCCCAGATATGTCAAACACAAGGCCCGGGGGCCGGATGCGGCCCACGAAGTGGTTTCATGTGGTCTGCGAAGCCATTCTGGAAACAGTGAGGGAATGGCCCCCACTGCCTTGGCCCTGGCCCAGGCCAGCTGGGAGCCAATGTACAATTTTGTGGTGGCCATCTTGGCACTTGCCCTGGTGGACCATGCCTTGGCACTTGCCCCGGTCCCACCCCCTTCTGCCAGAGACTCTCAGATCTGTCCCACTCCTGCCCAGGCCCCCACAGGCACCCTTGATGCGAATGATGTAGAACTGCCCACACCCACCCAGTAGGCCACACCCACTCCATCCACGTCCACCCAGTAGGCTGCACCCACTCTGGCCACATGCTCCCGGCCCCCCAAGGGCAACCACAATGCTGATGCGGCCCTCAGTGAAATTGAGTTTGACACCCCTGGTCTATCCCATTATGTATTTCAAATAATTTGCAGCAATTCTGTACAATTTTTGTTGGACTAATGAAAGAATAGGGCTTTTTTTCTTCCCGGTCAACACCATTATTTATTTTTTAGCAACCTATACAGTATGTGTGGAGGGAGTAAGAGTGAATGTGAGAGTAAAAGAGGGGGGGGGATTCTAGATTAATTTATGACATATTATGGCTGAGTTTACTAGTTAAGGTAAGTTTGTTGACTAAATGGTAATACAGATTGTAGTTTAAAAATCAGCTAAGGACTGGGCTTGTAAGCTGCCCAGAGTTACCCTGTGATAAGGTGGGCAACCAATAAATTTAACAAATAAATAAATAGTCTAGGCCAAATACGAAGCAAGCACATTATAGCTTAGCTTTATGTGTAATGAGAATTTTACAAACCCTGGCAGAAGAATATCAATGAGGCATCAGGACAGAAGTGAAGGAATCATTTGTAAAAAATAAGCAGCTTTTAGAGGAGAAAAAAATCTGAGAGGATTTGAGTCCTTGAGACTTGCAAACCAGTATGCTTGTTTATCCTACAGTTTGGGCAGTAGAAAGAGAAATATTTTTCTTTTACCACTGTGAGGGAGCTGTCTTTTCTGAAAAGTAGGAGGATTAAACCAGGACCAAAAGAAACTAAGCTGGGTAAGTTTACTAAGATCCCACAACTCAGGAAATCTCTCCCTTTCTGGTTTGTACAAACAAACATACTCATACATACTGAACTAGGGAATTTTGTGTTCTCCAACAGAGTCCTTGACATATTTTTGGCTTCTCCTGTCAAAGGACTGTGCAGCAGGTAAACATTGGGACCAAGGCTGATAACTTTGCAATGACCTTCTCTTGTCCCCTTGCCTATCTGGGCCTATTTATGCAACATATTTGTGGATTTGTGAAGTCCTCACCAAATGTGGAAAGCAGGACAGACACAGGCTCTTCAGAAGATTTTGTTTTCATTTCATCTTAAGGAGTAGCAAGCGAAACTGGCCACCCTCCAGTGTTGAATGCATGGACAATCAAGGCTTGTATCAGGATGAATGCTACATTTATAGATCCTTTGAAAAAAAAAAAAGCCAAGAAGAAACCTGAGGTTCAAAAGTCCGAAGGAAAGAGATGCCAAGGAGGCGTTCTCATCCGGAGTGCCTTCCACAAAGACGAAGCAAAACTTTCCTGACAGCCATGGACCAGCTCCGGAGACCTCTCTTCTTTCTCCTTCTGATTCTGGCACCTTTAAGCACTGTGGGTCATCCTCTTCCAATACAGGTACGTTCCCATGAGGTAAGTCCAGGCAAAGGGGTGAACAAATGTAAGCCCCAAGGGATACTTTGCTGTTGCTTTGCTGTTTGTGTAATATTTTCCCCCTACCTTTTTTTTAAAAAAAAAATTAGCAAATGGAAATGGTGGAGGGAATAAGGTCACTGAAGGCAGCAATGCTCAGTGGTTCTTCAATCACCGTGAAATCCTCTGTAGAAGGCAATGGGAATGAATGGCTGGAGAAGGGCGAAATCTAGCCGTATTCTGCAATAACTTGCCAAGGATTCTACAGTAAACCATTGATGGAAAAATAGCAGGTGGATGCCTCTTTGCAGGACTCAGAGGGCAAAGCACAGAGGAAACATTTGAGTTACAGGGAACTCTTCATGAGCACAGTGGAAAGACAGAAAACCCCTCAAGTGATGGTAATTATGCATGATACAGGAATAATAAGAGCTTTTCCATTCGGCTGGATGAAGCATTCGGAATTAGTCCAAAACTTGTTTTCTTTTTCCAGCAGAAGCAAATAAATCCTTGATTTATTTAACAGGCTCAAAAACATGCCACTTTGAATAAAGCCATTCCGTAGTTTCAGAGATGTTTTCACTCCTGTTCTATTTCTTCTGCTGGAAAGTCTTTTACTTTAGATCTATAGTCTGCCCAGGAATATTTCAGGTGAGGTTACACTCTAGGTAAGACATGGACTGTTGAAGATCTCGCCCGCTAACTTCAATGGAACAATACAATCTATTATGGGCTGCTTGGACCATTCATTATTAAACTGGATCATCATTGTTGCTAACAGAGCCCCAATCTTTCTAAGCTCAGGCAGTCACTGCTGTGATGGCTTGGTTTGGTTCCAGTCCATGGCAGCTGCAGTTCACTGCCATCCAAACTTTAAAGGACCCAAGTCCACAGCAGGTGCAGTCTATGAATAGTAATATTTGGGACTCGTGTAAAATAATTGGAACTAGAAAAAGCAAAAAGCAAGAATATTATGAAACAGAACAGCATAATGTTGGAAAAAAAGATCGTGCACTAATATTCTCTCATCTCACATCATTTACTAACTTGCTTTCCTGAAAAAAAGAAAGAAAAAGAAAAAGAAAAAAGAAAGCCGGAATAAGATTGAAGAAAATTGTGGTTTTGACTTATTAGAGGGGATTTCATACTATTAATTAGAGGGTTAAAGGGAGAAGTTGAGATAAGGGGAATTCTGGTCATTAGATTTAAAATACTTGGAAATTAGTTGAAAATAAGGATCTTATCTGTGTAATATTTAAAAATTACACCTAAAAGGAAAAAGAAAATTAATTATTATGAATATGTTTGATTTATTGATTAACCCAGGTAATATACATAATGGTTTTGATTTATTAAAGGAGATATTGTATTATTAAGTAGATGATTTAATATGGTGGGAAATAGATAACTCTAGACTTAGGAAATAGAACAAGATTACATTCAAATAGATAAAATGTATATTTTGGATATTATATTTTGTTATGAACTGAGGGAAAGGGAAATCTTGGTTACCTAAAGCCTGAAAATTATAACTATCAAAGGATTAATTGGAATATTGATGAGAAACTAAAAATTAGGTAAAAAGTAATAACAGGATATGGATTGTTTATGAAGATTGAATGTAAGTAAAATACACAGAAGCTAAAAATTTATTGATAAATGTAATAATAATGTTTTTACTGAGTTGATATAATAAGAACTGTACTAGCTTGAATATGGGACAGTAAATGTTAAGGGAAAAAGAGAAGAAATATCTGATGTTGTAACTTGAGATATGTACTAAAGATTTTGTTATCGAACTATTGATTTAACCCAGTCACCACATTGCTTTTTAAATACTTAAATGTAAAATTGGAAAATTAATAGAATATTATTAAAAAAAATAACATTACTATTCCTGAAAATCATACTCTATAAATTGGTGGACTGTAATCTGAAAGAACTAATATTTTTCTTGATCTTTTCTTATTTTTCTCTTTTTAGAGGGATTAAATTCTGGCTTTCCCAATTTCTAGCTCACTATCTGGAAATTCTTATGAAAGCATAATAAAAGCTGGACAGGACCAAAGTCATATCCAGTCTAGCATTCTGTTTTTCACAAAGCCAGTGATATTCTGGCTGAAAAGCATAAGACATGGAAGCCCAACCAAGTTCCATTATTTTCTTTATAAGATTTTCTTTCCTTTTTATTTTGTAACAACAGACATGTTGTTCCATGTTCGGATTTAATTAAGGCTAGCAGACCTTGCTTGCAAAACTTTGGATGGCCACAAGATTTTAGTAAAGAGCTACAGCAACTTCTTTGATGCTATCTATAGTGGTCTGGATTTTTGCAGCCATTATCATGACAATTATTCATCAGCCATTCTTTCAAAAGCTATTGGATGAGAGGCTTCTGAACATGGTTAGGGCTGGGTAATTGCATTTTGGACAGCAAAGTTTAAAATATGTCTTTCTTTCCTAGAAATAACAAAAAAGAGGGGGGGATTATTACTACCACGAGGGAGGGAGGGAAGAAGGGAGGGAAGGAAGGAAGGAAGGAAGGATGGATCCTGGTTATGGTAGGAAGTATCAAGAGAGAACTAAGAAGAGAAACAGAAGGGCATGTATTACCACCTCTGGCCTCTGGAAATCACTCAGCAATATTCATCAATAGGTCCACTCAGTTAGCAGGTCCTGACAATTTGGAATGTTTCAGTCATATTATGTGAAAGAAAATAACTATTTTGTTTTCTTCTGCAGAGGTCTATACGTCAAGTGAAAGCTCTCCAAAGCGAGGTAGGCAATCTTTTGGTTTACCAATTGATTTAGTAATGATTTTCCATTGTTGAAGGAAAAGTCTTCATCATGGTTCAGTCCAAGCCGGGAATAAACAACATGGAGATTGCTTTAGAAAGAAGGTTGCAGTTTATTGAAGAGGAAAGATGGCTCTGGAAGAAAAGAGAGAAAGCACATGTAGTAGGGAGTGGTGGGTTTTTATACCTTCTTGAGCCTTTTGTTTGGAGTTGTTCCTGTGGCATGAACTTTGACCTGAGTCTGAGTGTGCCTTTCTGGTATTCTGATAGTGGTGGGTTAATCCTATTATGTCCCAAAGGCCATATCCTGTTTCCCTGGGGCTGTAGCTGATGACTCTTAGATTTTTGGTGTGTGGGGTTGTTGATTCTAGGGATCTTTCTTCCTAATCCCAGTTTCCTGACTCCAGTCTTTCTGACAAGATTATCACATCTGCATTTCTGCAGACTTGGTTTCTGTTTGGGACAGAGAGACTGGGGGGGTGGGTTTGGTTTCTGCCTTTAAAATCCTTTAGGGAAATATATTCTGCCTTTAAAATATATTTTAGGGAAATATATTCTGCCTTTTAAATTTCTTTCTCTGGGAAGAGCTGACTTCCCACACCATCACATTCTAATCTGGTAGGTAGGTGGATTTTACTGCTGTTTCGTCAAAGCCTAGGGAGCAGAGCATCTGTGTGTGTGTGTGTGTGTTCCTTTGTTTAAGCGGATGTCTCAAGAGGATAAGAAAGAATGAAAGATGGAAATCATTACAGTAATCTGTCCCTCCAGGTTTGTGAAGACTTAACTGCTGAATCTGGGAGTATCCAATTTTGAAAGTGAACATCATCAGTAGTCAATTCAGATATTAATCAGTCTATTTTCCCCACAATTATAGGTGCTTTCTTCATCCACACTACGTGCATTGATTTATTAATAACATTTATATCGCTGCTCATTTTATACCAAACTCTGAGTGTCTTCCAATCAAGAATTAAAATAATGTCAGTAATAAAATGATAGAAAAACTATATTAGAACTATTCATACCATAAACATTAGAAACAACAACCAAGTTAAGCTTCCAACATGCAGGCCCGTCAACCTATCCCAGCACCTGGGCTTCAGGGCTTTTCGGATGGCTAGGTAAGTAGAGGCCTGCTCAGAGGGCAGAGTGTTCCATAGGGTAGAGATTGCTACAAAAAAGTCTTATGGAAGCTAGGAAGCTAGGACGAGTTTGTGTGTGAACTTTAGAATTTCAGTAGCATAAGTTGCCGGTGCAGCTCAAGCGGTGCCTTCGTGAGCTCTTGTAGCAGATGAGTGCAGCTTGCCGGTATGCTTAGGGATAACTCAGCCCTTCCAGTTAAACTGGAGGCCCAGGTATCTCACTGAGTCAGTCCCCAGAGGGTGGATGGTATCACCCTTGCACTCGTAGGTGGTTGGGAGGAGGGCCATGCACTTATGCTTACTCCTTTTGGCAATGGTGAGGCTGTGGTATTTCATCGCGTTCTGTCTGGTGGGAGGGAAATTTATCCAGGATGTTTCTATTAACTGTCTTATAGAAATAGCTGCCCCCCCACACACACACACCATTCGGAATCACACTGAGGCTATCCCCTTCACCTACCTCCATGTAATGCTCCCCTAGGCTGGTCCTTGCTCTGTGGCACTAAGGCCTACGCATGTATACCTTCCACCTTTCTGCCAATTCCATGGGGGAGGGAACCGTGCCCCCTCAGGCGACTTACAATTCATATGCCCTCACTGAGAAGGGAGCAGGAAAGAGATCTCCAAATCCCAAACCCTGATTGTGACTCGCAGATGATGCTGCCCAGTAAGGCAGAATACGTTGCACTGGTGGTCTCATTCGTGGGAGTCCTAGGGCTCTCTGTGTGCAATTTAAGAAATATTAATAGCCTGGCTTGCTAGCTTCTATAAGGGGGCAATGTTTAAGAGAGGGGACCCAGAACACAATTCCTGTTTAATCTGGTAGGATGGGTAGATATCCTTAGGGCAGTGGTTCTCAACCTGTGGATCGGGACCCAATTTGGGGTCGATCGACCATTTCACGGGGGTCGCCAAACAAGGCTGTCCGCTATTTTTCCCCCTTTTCTTTGGCCACGCCCCTGGCACCCGCTGATGTATAAGTGGTTGGGGGTCACCACAACATGGGGAACTGTATTATGGAGTCGCGGCATTAGAAAGGTTGAGAACCACTGCCTTAGGGAAAGGTGATTCCACAGATAACCTGGTACTTCAGGATACTGCTGTATTCTGTGGAGCTGGGACTCTACATATAAACAAGCGGAGGGGCCTTCCCTGTTTGAATCATTCTTAAAAGTTGTTTCTGCAGTTCTCCACCTAGTCTTCAAATGATTAAGAAAATTCACTTAAGTTTCATGCTGAAGGCTGACTGGAATGCTTGGATCATCTTTGCTGTTTCTCTCCTCAGCTCATAATTTCCAGTTTCTTTGTGCGCTCAACGATTGTATCCCGCTATGCCTCCACACGAGTGCGGACTTCCATGAGCAACCCACATCCCGAGGCCAAAGAAGCCATCTTTGACTTGGATCTGCCCCATTCTGCCTTCATCTCCAACTTTACTATGTGAGTCTAGGCCAGGGAAAGACATCTGCATATTTAATTAGAATAGAGCTGGAAGGGACCTTGGAGGTCTTCTAGTCCAGCCCCCTGCTCAAGCAGGAGTCCCAATATCATTTCAGACAAGTGGTTGCCCAGTCTCTTCTTAAAAACCTCCAATGATGAAGCACCCACAACATCTGGAGGCAAGCTGTTCCACTGATTGTTCTCACTTTCTCCTTAATTCCAGGTTGCTTCTGTCTGTTGTTTCTTGTCTTGCCTTCTGGTGCTTTGAATGGAGATGCTGTTGTCATCACTCTATGAAATAAAAACATTAGCTCAGTGGAAAGTATCTGCTTTGAAAATAGAAGGAGCCAGGTTTTACATTTGTCAAATTAAATTATCTGGTAACAAATGATAGGGAAGACTCTTCATTTGAATTACTTGACAAGTTTTACTGTTCAGAAGAAGGCAATGCTGTGTTCGATGAACAAGTAGTAAACCATCTTCATACGTTGAATAGACCCAGCCAAGGCCCATTCAGTGGACATTTTTATTAATGTTTTGTGCAGAACATAATCTGCAGGCAAAATAATCTCTATCGCAATGGTGCATAGTTTGAATTCTTGCTGTTCTAGTGAATCCTGCATGTTCAGTGAGTTACAGTGAGGAATAAAACTATTATATTTGGATGGTTTTTTTAAAAAAACACCCCTCTGATAGATAGATGGGAGCAAAGAGTGAGCTCTCTATGTATCCTTTTGTGACCTAGTGATTATCCATAGTTTTGCAGCTCATGTATGGTAGTCCTAATAAGCAATCTCTTGCAAAGAATGATCAGCATTGCTAAAAGCTAAAAGCAGAGGGGGGAGGTGGTAGGAGGAGCCATGACAGTTATAGCTGTATAAATAAGCAGTCAGTTGATTAGCAGATAGCAAGGCTTACTGTTCACAACAAGGTAACGAGCAGTATTACCTATTGCCTTTGCGAATGAAACAAGAATAAAACTTGGCAAATTGAGCAGAAGCCACCATGTATGTGAATTAAAATGAAAGGCTCCAAAGTCCTACAACTGGGGCTGTTTGGGACCAGCCCTTTAAGCATCCACCTGTGTAGTTGGCAGCTTATCTCTCCCTCTGGAAGAGGTAAGAGTTTACAATGCCATGCAACAATCGAACACATTATTTGCATGGCTAATTGGAGGGAAGAAATCAAAATCTGGTTGGTGTGATGTTGTGTTCAAGGCCCCCCATCTCTCTGATACATGGGTGCAACTTCGCCGCATATAGAAAAGAGATGGGCTCCAATTACAACACTGTATCTGCTATCTTGCCATTGTTGGTCTGTTCCACTGGTAATACAGATAATTCTTTACCTACAATCATTCATTTAGTAACCGTTCAAAAAGTTACAATGGCGCTGAAAAAGTGGCTTATGACCGTTTTCACACAACAACCATGGCTGTGTCCCCAGGGTCACGTTATCGAAATTTGGATGCTTGGCAACTGGTTCGCATTCACAATGGTTGCAGTGCCCCGGGGTCATGTGATCAGCTTTTGGGACCTTCTGACAAACAAAGTCCATGGGGGAAGCCAGATTCACGTAACTGGGTTACCAACATATCAATTGCAGTGGTTCACCTAACAACTGTCCCACTTAGCAACGTAAATTTTGGACTTCGTTTTGGTTGTAAGTCCAGGACTACCTGCAACGTAGCATCACCGCACCAGTATAAAAAAGGGCAGCGCTTGCATTGTAATGTCATGATGCGCATGTCACCATTTAGCCTCCCTGTACTTAGGAGTGGATTCCTGTGAGCAGTATATACATTCTCTGTTGTAAATAGACTATTTAAGACAACAGTTCAAAATCATATTGAATCTGGAAGGAGCAGCGGATCCACATTCATGTGTAGGTGCATCAGTCAGGCTGAAGACAATGTATTTACTTAACATATAGTTAAAGAACTGACAAAAAAGACAACTAAGAAGAGCAACGGTTTTGGGTTTCCACCTGCTTTGTCGCACAACCAGAGAACACGCTGACGGCAGAAGCTGTTTGGTGCCACTTTTTCACTCTTCTGGGTACCCATTGCAGAACATAGGCACAGCTTGTTCCTGAGGCTATGAAATGTTTGTTTTCCTTCACTACCATGGCAAGCAAACTAACCACAATGGATGGATTTGTAGCGGCAAGGGGGGGGGGGGGAGAAGGAGGCTGCTAGAACTGGGCTACAAAATCCAAATAACTACGAGGTGCTAAATACCATTTTTTGATCCAAAAATCCATATCCTTAATCCTAACATATGGGAAACTCAGTGTCATTTTTATTGCAAAGTTTAAAAAAAAAAAAATCTCCTTAGCAGTTCATTTAAGCTCACAAATTTGGGGTGCTCTTTGGGGAGAGGGAGGGTAACCAGCATACGTCTGCCCTATTATTACAGATCCCAATCCATGCGACTGTTTTGTACAGACACCCACCTTTGTCTCATCATTATAAAAACATGTGCTCCAACAATGCATTTGGGCTTTGCGGTTGAATCTTGAAGATATCCAGGAACATGCCGTGAAACTCATTTTCCCTGCTTCCAAAATAACCCTTCCTGCCTTTGCTTCCTCTTCCAGGCTGAACTCTAAAATGGCATCGCCTCTCTGCTCTTTCAGCTACGATAGACCAGAACTGATTCCGAAAGCTGAAAATAGATGGCAGAGGGGGACATTTTTTTAAGAAACAGGAGCGAGCAGAGGCAGGAGACAATGGCAATGTGGGCATCCTGCCTGTAGTTATAATAAAAAAGCAGTAACTTTTTAAAATTATTTCTTGTGATGTTCTTGTGCTCATGACCATAGCGGAGAGGAGGTTTGATGGCAGATGTTTCTTGTTCTATTCCAATGTGCTAGAACCATGAATGAGAAGATCTATGTGGCTGAAGTGAAGGAAAAGCACCAAGCTAAGAAGATGTATGAGGAAGCCCGCAGGCAGGGAAGAACAGCAGCTCATGTTGGCACCAAGTAAGAGCCTCCCAAAGAATTCGGCCTCTTCTTGTCTCAGAACTTCCTCCAAAGATAGCCACCAGGATGGGGTGAAGGGAAAATTCTATGAACGTGTGATGAAGATTGGCAGCTTTGTCACAGGCAGAGGGATGGTGTGGATGGGGTTGCTCTGCCAGCTGGCAAACAGCATCATATACTGAACGACACGTTTCACTATTTCCTAGGGATCGAGAAATAGAAAACTTCAGAGTATCCACCAGTGTGGAAGCAGGAGAAAAGGTGGCCTTTGAGCTGACCTATGAGGAATTGCTTCAGCGACATTTGGGGAAGTATCAGCATGCTATCAGCATCCGTCCCCAGCAGGTGGTGAGGAACCTCACAGTGGAAGTGAGCATCTCTGAGAGAACTGGCATTGACCAGATCCAAGTCTTGCCCCTCCGCACAAGTCGACTGATGACCAATACTCTTCAAGGTAGGGCTTCTCCTGTCTCAGCTCTCAGATAAGTGGAGTTGCGATCCAGCATCACAAAGAAATACACTTGCGTTTCAACTTCAAAGATCAGCAAAGTTTCACAATAGGTGGTCCCTCAAAAGCTAAGCAGCTTTGGACCTGGACCATCAGGAAAATCCAAGGCTTATGGGCTAAACTAAGAAAAGTTTTTTTAAAAAAATATCTTGGAGAAGGGAAGAGAGTGGCAAGCTATGCCTGTATCACTGCAGGGAAAATTACATGGGATTGTCCATATAGTCATCAGAAGTTGAACACGCTCATGGGAGTGAGACATTATCTTAAGGTTTCAATGACTCTGCTGTGACTCAGTGCAATCCCGCCTCACAAACCTGCCTAGGTTTAGATAGAGGTTTGACTACCTACCAGCTTGCAAATCGTCCTCACCATAATTACTCTAGCATTCACTTTAGTTATATTTGAACCTCATCTATGTTGCTTAAACTTTTACTTCCCCATAGCCACATTTGGAAGGATTTCAAAAAGTAAACAGGCATTCCTGATAGTCTAGGTCAGGGGTAGGCAACCTTGGCTTTTTTATGACTTGTGGACTTCAACTCCCAGAATTCCTGAGCCAGCTAAGCTAAGCTGGCTCAGGAATTCTGGGAATTGAAGTCCACGAGTCATAAAAGAGCCAAGGTTGACTACCCCTGGTCTAGTTCTGCTCAAGGATCATGAGGAAGTGTCTGTAATCCTGGGTGCATCCTATCCATTCCAAGACTTGGGGAACCATCCACACATACTTATGTCTTGCTTAACTTCTCTCTTGATTTAGTGAATAGCTGTAGAACATCTGAAGTGACTTGAGTGAAAAGCCTTGAAGTGAAATTAAACCGAGGCAGGCCAAGTCACCTCTGCATTAATGAACTCCTGCATATCTGAGGCAACCCTTGCCCCCACTGATAAATCTGCTGATCTGTCTTCTCAGGTGAAGCTGATATGCCACCCTCAACTCGAGTGGAGAAAGGACGGCACTGTGCTTGGATTGTCTTCACCCCAACCCCCCAAGAACAGGAAGCCTTCTCCAGCTCAGGAATCATCGGTGATTTTGTGGTGCAGTATGACGTGGCCATGCCGGATGTTGCAGGAGACGTACAGGTTAGGGGAGAGGCTACACGAGCATATAATAAATGGAAAATTACATAATTATATAATAAGTAGAGTAAAAGGAACACTCTGGGTATCATGATTGTCTTAAAAAGTGGAAGCAAGATAGGATGACACAGAGCAATCCAAAAAGAGTGTTGTGGAAACGTAAGAACTGCCCCACTGGAGCAAACTCTGCATCCATTTAGGCCAATGTTCCACATTCAGATATCCCTGGAAGCTCAGAGGTAGGCAGAATAAAGTTCTTTTCCAATAAAAGAGGATCCCTGCAATCTATAGAAAATGGGCAAACACATTGTCTCTACGTAAATCTGGATGGAGAACTGAGAGCTGTATGTAGATTTTGAAACTCTCTTTTCTGCTCCTGTCCACGGCCACTCCATCAGCAAGGACATCTTCCCCATCATTTCTACAATTTGATTCCTTTTTTCACTCTCTCTCAGATCTACAATGGCTACTTTATTCACTACTTTGCCCCAAGGGGGATGCCCCTTGTGCAGAAGGATGTGGTCTTTGTAATTGACATCAGTGGCTCCATGTATGGCACCAAGCTGAAACAGGTGAGCAGCCCCAAGTTGCAGAAGTGAAGGCCCAGAAGCTGGCAGATGAAGGATGGGGAGGGAATAGAGAGAGAATGCAGAAAGAGGGAGCATGATACAAGTGGTCCTCAAGTTACAAACAGTTGTTCAGCGACCAATCAAACTTGAATGACAATGCCCATGGCATGGGAAAGATTGTAACTTGATATGTAAGAGAAGTAAATGGTGAAGAGAATGAATTAAGAAATGAAATGAAAAAAAAAACCCAAAAGAAAACTAGGTATACTACATGTTTGTAAATCTAGGAGCAAGAAAAAAAGATCTGAATGAAAGTGGTTTGATCTTATGAAGTGCAGGTAGATAAAGGAGAAGATTTGTAGCTCGGGTTTGAAATGAAGAGTCCTTGGCACTCTCTGAGCTTGCTTGTTTTCTTGCAGATGTTTCATTACCCAAATTAGGTAACATCATCAGTGCTATTCCTACTCAGGAAGCTTAGATTAACTATGTTACTGTATTTTACATTCATTGTAAAATAATAGCATTTCATTTTTAAACACCTAAATTAAAATGACTGGAGAGTGCACATTTTAGCTTGCTCAATAACAATATTGGGCATCAACTGATCTGAATCAAAGGACAGATTTCTGCTAATAAGGTCACCCAACTCTCATCTCTAATTTCCTTGGTTTTACAGATCAAGAAAGCTATGCACGTCATCTTAAGTGATCTTCACCAAAACGACCATTTCAACATTGTTACTTTTTCTGACGCAGTGAATGTGTGGAAGCCAAGTCAATCCATCCAAGCCACTTCCCAAAATATCCGGAGGGCCAAAGATTATGTCAGCAAAATGGAAGCAGATGGATGTAAGTGTTGGCCTAGAGAACTGTGGGAGACAGGGCAGGAGAGAGACATAGATAGAAGGCATCCTAAAAAATAATTGCAAGAAGAGCCAAAAAATCAATTTTTTATAACCTTGAGTCCATAATTAAAGATGGCTGCTAAAAATCCTTTTCTAAAGTTTGATTGTTCTCCTGGAAGATCAGACCCAGGAACTCCTGGTTATAGCTACCTGGATCAATCCTTGCATTTAGTCTTGGGAGGCTGGGGGGGGGGGGAGAGACCTGTGTGTGTCTAGATATTGCTAATATTGCTGTAGGCTAGGCCTATCAGCCTGATCAATAAGTTGCAGTTCAAAAGTATCTGAAGAAACTGAGGAAGTTCCCATCCTGATATGGCCAAAATCGTTTCTTCTGAGGTGTCTTTGTTTCTGAGTCTCTCATTTCCTACTCTTAGGGACTGACATCAACGCAGCGTTGCTTGCAGCTGCCTCCATCTTCAATCGAAGTTCTTTGGTGGATGGAAAGGTGGAGAAGGAGCCAAGAATCCCACTGATCATCTTCCTGACCGATGGTGAACCCACTTCAGGAGTAACAGCTGGCAGTCGCATTTTAACCAATGCTCAGCAGGCTCTTAAGGGCACCATCTCACTCTTTGGTCTGGCCTTTGGAGATGATGCTGATTATGGGCTGCTGAGACGACTCTCGCTAGAGAACCGTGGGGTGGCCCGGCGTATCTACGAGGATGCTGATGCTACTTTGCAGCTCAAGGGTTTCTATGATGAAATTGCCAGCCCTCTGCTGTATGATGTGGAGCTGTCCTATCTTAACGGGGTTGCAGAAGACCTCACGCAGAACCTCTTCCCCAACTATTTCCAGGGTTCTGAGCTTGTTGTGGCTGGCCGAGTGAAGCCAGGAGCATCAAAACTGCAGGTGCGCACAACAGGGCAAGGCCAGGAAGGCCCATTGAACCTGGAAAATGACATTTCAACCAATACCACTGAAGCTGCTCCATTTGGCTGCCTTGGCGAGATCAACAAGATCGGTCACTTTGTACAAAGGCTCTGGGCCTACTTCACCATTCAAGATCTGCTACAAGCCCGGTTCCGAGCCAATGACACTGCTGCCCGGCGTCTCCTGACAGAAAAAGCTACCAATTTGTCAATCAAATACAACTTTGTCACTCCTGTCACCTCCTTGGTAGTGGTGAGGCCAGAAGAAGCCAGAGACAGAAACCAGCCTGTGAAAACCACAGTTCCTCCAAGGATGACTAGAGTACCAAAAGCCTCTCCTCAAGCATTGGCTGTATCTGTTTTGCCAAGACTTTCTAAGGCAGCTAAATCTGTTCTTGGAGTTACTGATGCTCCTGCAATAACAAAAGCTTTCAAGGAAATGATGGGGACAGGAACGGTTCCAGTGACGGCACCTAGGCTCTTTAAAGCAGCCAGAGCCACCTCTTCACCTGTTAGCACTATGTCCACCACCACCACTCCACCTGTCTATCCCACCATAGTACCTACTGCCACCGGCCACCCCAAATCAGCCAAAGTCACAACAATTCTGGGGAGAACGACCATCTCTTGGACTCCCATAGCGAGCCATAGATCTACTAAACCCCCAAGAGCTACCACCACTTTTAAGTCAACCAGGTCACCTGTAACCGTCCCCAAGATCAGTCCCACCAAAGCAGCGAGACTCAAACTCACTGTTCAGCCACACCCTGCACTGGAGACTAGAGGAACAGCCATGACAAAGGTTATGGCGGGGGTCCCCAACACTGTGGTCAGGACACCGACTGCTTTGTACCCTTTTGCCAGCCCAAAGATGCTGGAGAGCAACTCCAGTCATTGGGAACAGCCCAAGACGACCCCATGGCCAGCCACTCAGTACCACCCATATAGCAAGTGGCAAATGAGTACTGCCAGGATGGAGACAGGGAAACTTCCCAGGAGCAAGACAAACACCAAGGATGGGGTAACCGCGAAGTTGCACATTGATAGGCCCCAGGAGAAAAGCACAGTCTCTTGGGCCACCTCCTTCACCACTCAGGCAGCAGAATTAGAGGGAGCCAGTCCGGTTCCTGGCACCTCCACACCTGCCTCTGACATCAGCCTCCTCCTGCTACCTGGGGAGTCTGAATTACACTCAACCACCATCCAGAACACAGAATATGTGGAGTCCTTGAACCCGCCAGCTTTATATAGCTTTTTGATACCCAAAGGACTTGGAGGTAGGTGCAAGGAACCAGGGGCAGTGCTGGGGTTTGGGGCCTTTTCCTCCTAGGCCACATACATGCCCAACCTCTCTCTTCATTTACATCTGAAGAGAGAGGTTTAGCTGCATGGGGTTTTTAGCCCATCTCTGTTGTTGCTGATGATGATCTCCCAAGCGAGGAGAAACTTGCAACAAGGGTGAATTGTGCCTAGTAGATTAAGAACTCATCTTGTTTATTAATGCATAAGTTTCATGAATCTCCCGTTCTGCTAGCTATGTGGAGGAGCCTAATTCACGCCCCCTTTTACTCCTGTTGTGGTAGCCCTGCCTCCTTATTCCCAAGATCAGCTGCCCTCTCCCCTCTCTCCCCATTAATCTGTGTATCTTATGCCCAGCCATGCATATAATGCTCTGGAATTGCTCTAGATCAGTGGTTCTCAACCTGTGGGTCGGGACCCCATTTGGGGTCGAACGACCATTTCACGGGGGTCGCCAAACAACGCAGTCCACCATTTTTTTCCCCTTTTCTTTAGCTGTGCTACTCCCTTTTATTCTATTGGCTTTTGAAAGCCAATAGAATAGATTCTCTTGAATAGAGTCTAATTCTATTGGCTTTCAAAAGCCAATAGAAATTGTCCAGGGTGTCTCTGCCCTGCTGAGCCCGCCAAAAGTCCCATTCTGCAAACGGTGCTGCACCAGTTGAGTAGTCCTCGACTTACGACCAGTTGAATAGTCCTTGACTTACGACTGGTTGGGGAGTCGCGGCATTAAAAAGGTTGAGAACCACTGCTCTAGATCCTCTTTGATGATTGGATAGTGTGTTATCTATGCGTTTTTTGTTTCTCTCCTCAGAAAACGTGGATTATGGAGACTATCCAGGTAATTCTTCCATCACAGAGACTGCCTTCGGGGACATGGCCTAGTGAGCTCATTCTGTTTCCTATCTTTAAAGATCTTCCCAGATGTTCATCTTGGAGAGCACATTTATTAAGCCCACTTTAAACCACACGTAGGCTGCCATGTACGGAATGTGTTCCAGTTCAGATTTCTGACTTATTCTATTCCCTTCTCCTGTGGTTTATCATTTCCTTCCTGGCACTGAATAGTCATAAAATGATTAGAAGTGGTCTACGGTACTACTTCCAGCCACATTCTTAACTGTGTGATATTGTATTGTGTCTCCTCCTTAGAACGTTTTCTTTTTCTCTCCCAAAGACTTTATTTCTGCAGCCTGAGATTCCCCTGAGCCTACTGATCCCAATCACGTGTGTATGTGAAGCCAATTTAGGTACACACCCAGAGAATGAGTTTTCTTTCACAAAGAAACCATCACTGACCATTCCATATTCTTAAGGGATGGAATGCCTGATCATTCAAACACTCTTTGCACAAAAGAACAAAGAACAAACAAATAACTGAAAAACAAAGGACAAATAAGGACATGGATTTGCATAAAATATACATATACTAATCTATTTGTAGGCATAGAAATATTAAAATTCTTGCTGTGTAAAATAGAAATTCATCTCTCTATATTTTTACATCAGGCATAAACTGTTAGTTCTTCTAAGAGAGCAGACGTTGGAAACTGAATTTACACAAAGCCTGGACCCAATTTCTGATCAGCCACAACTCCCAGCAGCCTTACTCAGCCTGGCCAGTGCTTCCATCTGGTGACATTATCAACACCTGGAGTGCCAAATTCTGGCTACCCAGGTTTAAAGATATTCCCTTTCCTTCAAAACCTTTCATTTCTTCTTCTTTCAAGGTGAATGGGCCTGAATGCTCCTCCCATTCTTTGTCCGGATAAAGCACTTTATGGAGGACAAAGCATCTTAACACTCATTGCAGAGAGGAGAAGAGAATGTGCCCCAATATTTTCACTGCAAAGTGATGGGGGAAAAATCCAGGAAGGGATTAAGGCCCTGAGGTCCATATGTGGCTGACTCACAAGCTACATCCAGTCCATAAGTCAAGGGGGTTTCCTCTTTTTAATTAAGTCTTCTTCTTCTTCTTCTTCTTCTTCTTCTTCTTCTTCTTCTTCTTCTTCTTCTTCTTCTTCTTCTTCTTCTTCTTCTTCTTCTTCTTCTTCTTCTTCTTCTGCTTCTTCTGCTTCTGCTTCTTTTTCTTCTTCTTCTTCTTCTTCTTCTTCTTCTTCTTCTTCTTCTTCTTCTCCTTCTCCTTCTCCTTCTCCTTCTCCTCCTCCTCCTCCTCCTCCTCCTCCTCCTCCTCCTCCTCCTTCTTCTTCTTCTTCTTCTTCTTCTTCTTTTTCTTCTTCTTCTTCTTCTTCTTCTTCTTCTTCTTCTTCTTCTTCTTCTTCTTCTTCTTCTTCTTCTTCTTCTTCTGTCATATCCATTATCGGACGTTGGCAATCATGTTGGCTATCCTGTTTTTATCAGCAGCCGCACGAAAAGTGCTGCTGAGTTTTGTCCAACCCAGTCCCTTCGATTTTGAAGCCACGGTGTTCTTCTTCTGCCTGGACCTCGTTTGCCTTCAGTCTTTCCCTGGATGATTAAATTAATTAAGTCTTGGAAAACAGAAACTGCGTGTCCTTTATAAAGTAAGACTAGTGACCATTGAAGATGGGAGAGTAGGTGTATTGGCAACCCTGATCAAACTATGGCTTTGTTAGTTAAAAAAGTAAATATGGAATAGAATTGAAATGTACTGTACTGTAGTAGTATATGTTGAGGAGGATGCATGTTTTCTTTGCTAGCAGCTATTTCTACAAAACTCTAAAGTTGCTCATGATAAAGTGAAAACAAGGCATACTTCGCTAATTCATTAAACAAAATAAAGCTTAACATTCAGGGCAACTAGAACTTGTGGTCTGGCCAATGAGAGTTGGTATCTTTTGAAGAGCACCCTGAATAAGTAAGCACTACCTCCGTGTCAATGACCCTCTTCAGTTAAATGGCTCAAATATCTGCAATGAAGTAGGGAAAGAAAGTTGGGGTGGTGAGGGGCAGTGCAGGATTGCTTCTGAGAGAGTCTTGTGAGTATGAAAATACTCTGAAAATTAACTCTCTTTTTTCTGCAGATTTTTTTGAAGAATCGGACAGCGAATCAGGTACTTTCCTGGACAATTAGCACTTGTCAAACAATTCCCCGGTGGGTAAACTGAGGAAGACTGTGCTTTTAGAAGCATGAAGGAAGGGAACAAATGCAGAGCATGGCTCCCAGAATATTTCCTTTCTCCGTTACCTGGAGTGATGCATTTTTATTTCTTTCCTCATGTGCTTCTCTGGGTGTCTGTACTGGGAAGCCAAGTATATGTTTTTATCTGAATCACATGACCGGACGAGGGGGCTTAGAATAGAGCAGTCAGCCTCATTCCAATGAATTGCCCGCCCTTTCTCCTACAGCAGTGGTTCTCAACCTGTGGGTCGGGACCCCATTTGGGGTCAAACGACCATTTCACGGGGGTCGCCAAACAACACAGTCCGCCATTTTTCCCCCCTTTTCCTTACCTTTGCTACTCCCTTTTATTCTATTGGCTTTTGAAAGCCAATAGAATAGACTCTCTTGAGACTCTCTGCCCTGCTGAGCCCGCCAAAAGTCCCATTCTGCAAACGGTGCTGCAAGTTGTCTGCAGCGAAGGCGAGCTGTCTGGAAGTTTCCACCCCTCCCTGCTGAGCAACTACTAAAAATGTAAGTAAAAGAGGGCCAGGGGTGGGAGGTGGGAAGCCGGCAGGCGCAGGAAAGGTTGCTGGCGCGCGTGGGGTCCGGCGGGTGCCTTACCTCCCTTGGGCTGGGCCAGCTGGTGGCCCAGCTGGTGGTTGGCCTGCACCATCTCTGCCACTTGCCAGCTACGCCTCGGCCAGCACAGGGGGCGGCACCACGCATGCGCGGCGCTCCCGGGCAGGGAAAGTCCTCGACTTACGACCGGTTGGGTAGTCCTCGACTTACGACCGGTTGGGGGTCACGGCATTAAAAAGGTTGAGAACCACTGTCCTACAGGGATACGTTGGAGAAAAACATCTGGATTTTTTGATGATGGTGGTGGTGGTGGGCTGTCCTCAGCCAGATGCAGCTCAGTTTTGAAGTTGGTAATTATTTTGCCAGCTTCTCCCCTCAAGCCAATTTTGATCCCATTCTGTCCAGTTCTCAGAAAGCTATCCTCTTGATGGGCCACAGTCTTGAATCCCTTTACATAATTTCTTTCCAACATGCTAGACTAGGGGGGGAAAAATGAAAAGTCATATCCTATAAGCGAGTAAGTCAATGCATATTAGTGCATAATCGGTGAAACGACTTGCCTCCAGAAGTTGTGGGTGCTTCAACCCTGGAGGTTTTTAAGAAGAGATTGGACAACCATTTGTCTGAAATGTCTTCTGCTCGAGCAGGGGGTTGGACTAGAAGACCTCCAAGGTCCCTTCCTGCTATGTTATTCTGTTATTATTTTTTGTGCCCCTCACCCTGGTTTCTGTTAAAACTCATTGGGTAAATTTTCAACAGATACAGCATAACGGAGGTAGAAGAGATTGAAACTGAGACTGAATTGAGATTGATGGGTGGGTAATGGAATGAGACGTGGTGTACACATAAACTGAAATATTTCAATAATGCTCAGTGGATTTCATCTTTGTCTCTTTTCAGACTCCCTGGGAGTGTCACCCAAATCTGGCCTCTTCACTTTTTCCTCTTGGGGTAACAACCCATTCCTAGCTATGAAGAATTCACAGGGCCTCCATTTTTTTTTAAATGTCTTGTTAATGGATATCCTTTGCTTCTTCCTTGCAGTGGATGGAGACCCGCACTTTGTAATAAAGTTGCCACATTCACTGGGGAATCTGTGCTTCACCCTGGATGGACGCTCAGGAGATATCCTCCGGCTGGTGAGCGACTCTGCCACAGGTAAGAGCTGTGATTAGAGCCTGCCCCAGGCAATCCCAGGGGGCCAAAGGTGATGACAGGTGGGACCATAAGCTTGTTTTCAGGAACAAGATCTGGTACTTGTAATCATAGGCAGAACCATTATCGAGTTAAATAATGGCCATTGGGTTGAAGGGCCCTATGGGAGAAAACAGACAGGAGAGGCAGAAGAGAGGAGTGGGTTGAAGAACAGCAAGTGTGGATCTGCTTCCATTCTGTTGAGGAGCCAAGGGGGGGGGGAAGGAAGAGACTGATAGTTGCCTTTCTTTGCCTTCAGGTTTGTCTGTTAATGGGCACCTAATGGGAGCCCCTTCAAGGCCAGGCCACGAAGAACGTCCCCGCACCTATTTGGATGTCATCACCATAGTAGTGGAGCACCCACATAACAGCTACGTGGTTAATATAACCCAGAAGGGTGTGACACTATATGGTGAAGAAGTGTTGGTCTTGCCCTTAACTCAGCGGGCCACAATCAATAAGGCCCCTCTGGCCATTTCCGTGTGGCCCGAGGCCAATATCATTGTCCAGATTGGGCCCATGGTTGAATTTCTTGTCCTGCTGCATCACTATAGCCATCCCACAGTCCTGCAGTTGGATCATCTTGGCTTCTATATTGTGAAGGGCCAAGGCCTGTCAGCCACAGCAGGCGGCTTGCTAGGTAAGCTGTTTTATGAAAAGGGTCACTATCATGTTTTCTCGTTCCAAGCTTTCATCTATTTAAGTTCTGCCTTGACTTCCCTCCTTGCCACTTTCCAGAATATTGTAAATGTAATGTATGCGTAAGAATCACAGAAGTAATTCTAAAAAAAAAAAAAAAAAAAGATGCCAGCTGGTCCTACATATTAAAAATACAGGCCATGCTTTGTTTCCCTGTGGAAGCTGGCAACTCACTGATGATATCCATAACTACAATGATATGCTGACTGGGAACTCTGGGTATTGTAGTCTTAATACATCTTGGGATCTCCAGCGTCTTAGAAGGTGGAACTAAAAGACAAAAACGACCTGCAACTCCTGTGTTAAAGTAATGCAGATAGATAGATAGATAGTTTTTGCAATGCCAATTTTCTCTTTCCCAGGCCAGTTCCAGAATAGCAACATCAGCCTTTCCCCAGATCCATCTAAAGGGGGTAAAGTTGCCTGGATGCAAAGCGATGGGAAGAAAGTACTAATCTCTGAAGTCTCCAAGACGCTGAAGGATTCAATCCAGAAGGCTCATGAAGCCAAGTGCTGGCTGGTGAAGCGCAAGGATGTGGAAGAGTTGCTGGGAGCCTCCTACTGCTCCTACCTTGCCTCCAACCTGTTGGAAATATGAGCTGCCCTCTTCCATTCTCTGTTTAGAAAAGGTGGACCAGCAGGCTTACCAGAATACAGGACCATTTTCAGGTTTCTCCTTCACCATTTTGGTTACGCATGATGGGGAGAAGACGGGGAAATCCATCATCTCCTTCTGGATCTTGGCAGCCGGTCCTTGGAAATGGAACAGACATCAGACTATAATAAAAGAGAAACTGATTTCTCACTGTGCTGTAGGACCAATCTATCCCCATGCTGTATCATGCTGATATAATGCAGAGAGCGACATTGTGCTTAGCTGCAAATTTGTCTTCTGGACAGCAGATGGAAGGATTTGATGTGTTTATTCCTTTTTTTTTCTCTGCGAAAGGTTAAGAAATCCTTACGTTTTGGAATTAGCACAACAGATTTCCCCCCTCCCCAAAGTTCACAGCCTTAATTGGAATTGTTAAGAACAAAGACAGAATGAGGCTTTCTGTGGGCCTCAAATGCTGGACTGAGAGTTGCGTGGGATCCACTCCAATCCCTCCATATTGTCCTTGTCTAGCTACACTCCATGATGGAAAGCCGTAGAGGCAAGGCCAATGTGCCCTTTTCAATCAGTTGAGAAATATATACCAACCACAGTGCCATGCTCCAGTATTTCAGCTCATATCAAATTGACCAAATGTGTGAGAGAAACTGCTGCTCAAAGGCACAACAGAAGGGAAACAGCTGAGGCATCTGACTTGCTGGGTCACAAAAATAAAAGCAGGAGCCCTGCAAATTTCTTCCAATAGCAAGAAAGTCAAAGATGCTAGAAGGCATTGATCAATTTGAGAGCCATTTTTTTTTTTAACCTGGCTTAGTATGTTCTGGACACGTTTTAGTTATTCAACAATCCAGCTTATGCCATGTTAGCCTTTCCCTTTGGAGTGCTTTGGCTTTGGACAGGTGGACAATAATATGAACAGTGAGCACTCACTGTCTTCCTTGTGGCAGATTTTCCTGAACATGCAACACCCCGGGGAGCAGCTGGGAAGAGCAGCCGATTCAAAAGACTTCCCATCATCAATAGAGAACAATTACCAGCTTGCTAACAGTTGGATAGAGGAAAAGGTGTGGGTGGGTTGCTTTTTGTTATTTCAGAGTGGCCCCCCTACTGTTTCATTGGTAGATTTAATCGGACCCCATGTAGTCAACATTTTTATCTTCTGGAGACTAAAAGTAGAAATGGGCAGGATGGCAGATGGATTCGTTGCACCCTGTTCATTTATGCGACTTGGGAGTCTTTTTACAATTTCTAGGGAATCTCCTCCTAGACATCTCCCATCGACAAGGAAACTCAAGTTGCTCCCCCAGCGTCCAATGCAGGGAAAGGGACTGAAACGTAAAAAAAAGAGAAAGGAATAAAAGCTACTAATGCATCTGTCAAAATGTTTTTGCATTGAAAGGCCACAGCAGCATATAAAAGTTTTTAGCATGTGGCAAGCAGAGTGTCAGAATCAAGAAAATCACACCAACAATCTGACGGACGTGAATCTAGCCTCTGTCCAGAGATTTTCCATCAGCCCTCATAATCCATGTCGCAAGAATCTTAACATTATAGTTCAGTGATGGCGAATCTTTTAGAGACCGAGTGCCCAAAACCCACCCCCCCACCCCTGCCCTGCTCCACCTCTCCATGCTCCGCTCCGCTCCCCACCCCACCCCCACTTTGCGCTCCGCCCCACCCACAGGACCACCCACCACCTCCATGGCCTGCCGCAGCACATCACCCAGGCAGCCCAGCAGCACCATGGCCATGCCCTCTGCCTGCGCCCCACATTATCATCTGCACGCGATGGGGCACAAGGGCAGAGTCTTGTCCCCGCTGCCCGGCTGCCATGTCCTTGGCTGCGCTGCTCTGCATGGGCCACACCTGGGGGCAACTCTCCACCGGGGGGGGCTGCTGGTGAGGAGGGGGCCAGGGGAAAGGCGGGGCTGGGGTGACAGCGCACGTGCCCATAGAGAGGGCCCTGAGTGCCACCTGTGGCACGCATGCCATAGGTTCGCCACCACTGTTATAGCTGAAAGGAGACAGGCAAAAGCCCTTGCCTCTCTCATTATTTCTCCTTGGAGAAGTTTGGATGGTGTTCCTTCAGGATGCTCCTGCGTTATATGTATATTTCTTTTCCCTGTTTTGCTTGTCTGCATTACAAAAAGCCCTCTCTGTATTCCAGCCGACAGCCATTCCCTCCCTCCTACCCCAGTCCCTGGGGCCCTGCAGCACCCAAGATTTATTATCCTGTAATTATTGCGGGATCAGACTTTCTTTTCATGTGTTAATGTGTATTTTACAATTCTTACAATAAAAACAAAAATTGCTGCCCAAGATATTATTGTAAACCTGCAGCTGAAGCAAATATAGGATACTAATTTAAGGAAAGGAAAAAGGCAGTGACCCTTAGCTGGGAGAACGAGCCTTTCAGTTCTGCTTGATAAATAACTTCCTGGTATTAATTTTGTGCATCCCAAAATCAACAGACTGTTAATAATACCAATTCTGAATAAAAGGTGGCTTGTGACACTTTGCGAGGAGAAATTCCACATGAGATCAATGTGAGTTAAGACACACTTCATGAATAGGACCAAGGAATGCCAGTGTAAAATAATTAAATGGGCAAACATTCAATATGGTTATTTGATGATATAGCAATTTAGGTCACCTTTTATTCCTCAACTGGCAAAAAAACTGCGAAAAAAAGAAAGAGTTGGATAGCCCTCCTGAAATAATCCCCCAGTGGTGAATCCTTTCAGCACAGCCCCCTTTAAAACAAAATGTTGTGCATACTAAATGCCCCACTCTTGTGTGTAGAAAGTATGCCTTGGTGCTGCACCCCGTGTATTAACTCTTGTGCAATAAACTGCTATAACTGTACTTCGGCATCAGACTCTCCGGAACACAAAATTTGTGGCCGAGTTCTCCCAGATCCTAGTGGAAGCATTTGTTCCTAGAGGAACAGAATCAGAAAAATATATCTCAGGCATATGCCACGATAAACTGAAGCTTTTCTTTTATTCTAACCCCTGGAAAAAAAATTATATATATAATTTTATATAATCATATATAAATTATATATATATATAATTTTCTCCCCCTTAAAACACACATTTCTAGAGCGAGGCCTAAAAAATAGAATTCAAACATTTACACAAAGCTTGCTGGAGTCTGGTGTAAAAATATGATGCACAGCTGTATTAACTTGAGCTGTGCCGCTGGGTAGAAACATCTGTTAAGTCTTACTTAGGGGGCATGACGCCCTCCCTGCCGCCATAGAAGGGGGAGAAGGAGAAGGGAGGACAGACTGCTTTATGCCAAAGAATGTGAAAAACAAGCCCTGGAATTAACAAAATGAGAGATCTGCAACAGGAACAGCTGTGAAGCCTACTGGAAAACTTCACATCGGCAGCAGGAAGAATTTGCTAATATTCCACATGGAATCTCCTGGTTGGCAGCCCCATCTGGCAAGTGATGCTGGCCTGAATAGTTTCCAACTACAGATTGGAGAGAGCTGGGATTTTCACCAGTTTAAGATACAAACATTCAAAGCAACAACATTCTCTTTTGTGTCTACAGATATGCAAACCAGGGAAGAGGCAGCTTGTAGCCTTCTACCTCAACTGTCTTCTTGTGTACGCTACAAAATTTCTACGACCCATTAGACCACCCCTCCCTTTTGCATTCTGCATTGCCATGGGGACACAGGTCTCTTGTGAAGCTTCCAGCCTTCTATTTCGGATGGATAACGTAAGGCAAGATGCGTGGATGGTTCCCTGCTGCCAAATGACTGGAAGTTTCAAAATTCTCTCGGTGGAGAGGGAGTTATTTCCAGGGTCTGCCTACTCCCCATCCGCAAATCCCTGACTGCTGGAAAACAGGGAAGAATCCAGGTCTCTTTGTAAAACAAGTGGTTCCTCTCCTGCCCTTCCAGGCTTTGGAAGGATCTCTACCAGAGCAGTGTCTCTCAAGCTGAGCAATTTTAAGATGTCTGAACTTTCAACTCCAAGAATTCCCCGGCCAAAAGTAGTGCCGGCTGGAGGATTCTGAAAGGTGAAGTCCCCTCATCCAAAAATCAATGAAGTTGAGAAACACTGTTCTAGAAGATTGCAAAGGAACCCTCTGCTTGCATGAAAAACAACAAGCAGCTCTTTTCAGCTGGGAATTTTTTTTTTTTTTTTTGAAAAATAATGAAAAAAAGAAACACTCCTTGGCATGCCAGGGACTGCCAACAAGCAACAAAAGATACAAAGGGCATTTGAAGCTGTTAGGAGGAAAACGTAAGCCAACATCTGTAATGTGTGACTTGACAGAAGGAAGGGAGCATTCGGAAGAGGTATCAGCTCCAGAACAAAAAAAGGAAGTGCAGCGGGTCGAGGTAGGGATGGAGAACAAGTGGGCACAATGAACCCCCCGCCTCCTGCGTTGTCTGTCTCTTCAGGGAAACCAGTGTGGTTTGCCTCTGTGTTCGGGTGCTGCCAATCGAGTTCAAAGCTTCCGGCAGCGGCACAGGCAGTTCAGACTTGGCTCTGATCCATGTGAGGGAAGGAGAGGTAGAGTAGCGCAGGCCTTGTCCACACACCCAAGGTCCTATCGGCCCTCCAAAGAGACCAGGTGGTGCCTCCAAGTGGGACTCTGTGCCTCACCCAACTTCTGCTGCCCAAGAGCTGGGCATGTGGTCTGGAGCTGACATGGGGATGCACTCAGAGGAGTAGCTTGCCGTTGCGATGGATCTTCAGGATCCGTCCGAGTCGCTGCTTTGCTGTCGCTAAACCCTTCTTGGGGCGTTTTCCTGAAGGGACCAAAAAAAAGAGAGTTATAATTCTAACTAGATAACCATTTTAAAAATACTTGCTTACCAGATTTTTTTAGTGCCTTTCAACCATGGCAGAACTTCTGAGGTACTTGAAAAGTTCTTAAAAATTCAGGGAAATATTCAGAGATGTATCTGCCTTGAAAGTAGCCCATGTTGAACCGTATAGCAGAGGTCCCCAACCCCTGGGCTGTGGCCCACGGTCCGTTTGGAACCGAGCTGCATGAGCGGTGGGCTGACGCATGCACGCATGTGTGCAGCTTGACTTGTGCAAGAGGCAGGCTAGCGCACACATGTCCATGCGCACAACGGCCCGCTGCTGCTCAGGCTGGTTGCTCCTTTCCCTCCCGCCAGGCCACCAAGCCATAAATGTTGGGGATCGCTGCTGTACAGCACAGTCAAACATCAGAAACTGGCCACCAGGAATGTTTTATGACATTTTGCCAAATTTCAATTCCACAAGAATCATAGGTCATGGATTTTGCATGCATTCTGTAAAATAGTCCATCTGAGGTACCTTGGTTCAAAAATGTTTGCCCCATGATGCACTGTTTCACCTAGTTCAAGGTTACAGAGACAAGAGTTTAGAACGGATAGAGATTTACTCAAGTCATAAAACCAGTTTATTTTCCTTCTGAAAAAAGTCTGTGCTGATGTAGAGAGTGAAACTTAAAATCCTCTCCAGCTACAGAATGAATCCAAGACGAACACAAGGTTCCATAATCTGGATCTTGCCAGGATCCAGTGGTTCCTACCTGCCTCAATTCACACCTGCCTCTGTTTCCTTACTCATATAGTACTTCATTCCTATAAGGAAGTCCTGAAGGTTCACAACGCTATATAATTAATGACAAAAGTGCAACAAAACATGCCTAGTATTATCCCCAGTGAGATATTCAAGGTGAGGTGTTATTTGAACTGATAACTTTCTTTGAATGCAGCACGGCTGATAACAGATAATACCACTAAGTGTGTTCAGTATTTGATTGCCCAGAATGCATCCTATGAATGACCAGTCCAAGCCATATTCTTCCACCAACTACAATCCCTCTGACAAAACACCTTGTAGCAGATCAGAAGACAGTAAGAATTCTTCCCTAAACAACATCAATGGGATTGGCCCTTCCCTTCTGAAGCCCATATATACAAGGGGGCTTACCCTGGGCTGCTTGAGGACCTGGTGAGCCAGCTGAGGGGCGCCGCTGGGACAAGAAAACCCCTGGGGCCATCGGCGTGGAGCCCCGGTTCACCTGGGCCATTCCAAAAACATTAGGCCGAGCAGTGTATTCATGATCCACCAGGCTGCCAGCAAACTGCTCCTGTTTCAATTCCGGGGGAGGGGTGGGCACGGGGGCCTCCAGCTCAGGATCTGGTTCCTGGGGGAGGGGGGGTGGGGGTGGCACATCCGGTTCCACTTCTGCTTCTATCAGCTCTGGCTCTGGCTCTGGCTCCGGTTCTGGCTCCGGTTCTGGACTAGGAGCTTTTGGAGAGGGTGGCTTCCTTTTTACGAGTTTCCGCCGCTGCAACTTCTGATGTTCCTTAAAAGGAAGAGAAAAGAGGCGGAATCCTTCATGCAGAGCTGCAGTTGTTTAAGACCAGCTGGGCATGGGC